ATATAAATTCTAGGCTCAGTTGTGGTTGTAAGTTGAGGAGTACCTGTATTGTGGAGAGCGAATACGAGGCAAACAAGAAAATTCTGCAGGGCGGAGAAGAACGGGTAAGAGGGAATTTTTTAAAAAGAGGCAAACTAAGAATTCATCACACATCTCCAACGTCCCCTCTCTCCAACCATTAAGTTCAGTTTTATCAGATGTGCTAAAGATCATGGGAAATCAAGAATGACATTGGCCTGAACAAAAAAGACAAAGTAGTTTGCCATTCCAGGCTTTTATTAGAAGTGAGAGAATGAAAGTCTCAGCTGCTGGTGCTTTAATGAAAACCAGCAAAAGGGGAGTTTACCTAACCAGCGAAAAGTGAAATGTCTGGCAGCATTTCTATCCCATCTGCCTCCCACCAAGAGGAAATGAATTCAACATCAGAAAAGAGCAAGCCTTATCTTGAAGCCAAAGAGGAATTCTTTAAATAACAGCCCCCAGGTTGTTGACAGCCAGACTCGGATATTCAGAGAGGATTTGGGGTCTAGTAATCTTATGGACAAACTATTTGAAAGAAGAATTTGCTGCACTTTCCTTCAAGAGTCTCTCCTTTGTCTTGATGTGCCTGACTCGCTTCTCTCCTCCTGTGTAAACATTCCAGATTTTTATTGGGGTTCTGATTAACAAAGACTCTCAGTCCCCTTGGAGTTATTCCTTTTCTGGCACTCATTACTTTTAAACCCACTTTAGATATTGGGGTGTTTGTTCAGTTTTGCTGCAAAAGTTCTGAGAGAGATAGATAGATAGATAGATAGATAGATAGATAGATAGATAGATAGATAGATAGATAGATAGAGAGATAGATAGATGATATATATATATATATATATATATATATATATATATATAGATAGATAGATAGATAGATAGATAGATAGATAGATAGATAGATGATAGATAGATAGATAGATAGATAGATAGATAGATAGATAGATAGATAGATAGATAGATGATAGATGATAGATAGATAGATAGATAGATAGATAGATAGATAGATAGATAGATAGATAGATCTACTTATACCATTTTATAAAATATATTAGTCAGGAAAGGTGCGTCTTAACTGTCTTTAAACATCTGGAATGCTTGCATTTAAAATCTTGCAGCAGTCTTCATCTGGATAATTTCTATGAATCCTATGTCAATATACAGCCTAGTTAGTCCTAATGTAGCTCTGCTCAGACCAGTTGCAATTTATCCAGAGCTCATTAAATAACTAGAGAAGGCCCTTGACTTCCATCTACTTTGCTTCTAGGACAGATGGCCAGGCAGGAATGGACTCACTTACAAGTTCTTGGATTTGGCAAATGGTTCATCAAACAAGAGGGGAACATCTCTTGTGCTCTTTTGCATCAAAGCAGCATTCTAATTTGGAGCATTTAGTATCCTTTTGCAGACTACGGCAGGATGGAATCTTTACAGCCGTGAAACAGAACATCTGTTATTTTACAGATTAGATTGGTGATTGAAGAGGATAATTTGGGAGCATCATCCAAAACGGATGCAGAGAGACTGAACACAATCACTTGGATTATTAAAGAAGAATAGGCATTTGCCATTTGTTTTTACATTAGGGTTTATGATCATCCATTAAAAAGTATTGGCATTTTAAGTTGAGCTTATCTATGTAGATGCTTGTATTTATCAGCTCCAGCACACAAAGAAAATGAAAAAAGATTGGACAAAACAGTAGGGCATCAGTAAAATGTTCAAGCTAAAGGAACATATCATTACAGGTAGTCCTCAACTTATGTCCATGACTGGGCCCAGAATTACAGTCCTAATTTTACTGCTGTTGTAAGTCAAGGCACCCATGTGCCTTTTTTGTGGCAGTCATTAAGTGAACCCATTCATTTAACTGAGGTTTTTGCCAAATAGTAGCCAAAAAATATTGCAAATTGCTATTATGTGAGTGTGGAACCTGTAACTGTTATAAAGCCTGACCCACCTGACACGCGGCCATGTAACCATGGGGTGTGTGTGACCATTTACAGTGATTGGGAGTGCATTATGGGCCATAAAGCACCCATCTTGTGGCCTTCCTGATTTTGATTGTCCCAAAGATGCTTTTTCAAAAAGGCAACCGGACTTGGTTTTTCCTTGAAGATGTGTTGCTTCTCTTCCAAGACGCTTCTTTTGCAGATGACTGCAAAAAAAATCTAAATCCTTCCATCCTCCGCCATTCAGTCAGAATGGTAGAAGCTTCTTGGAATGAGAAATGAAATGTTTTCAAGGACAAACAAAGTCTAGTTGCCTTCTGAAAAAGCACTTTGGGGACAACCATGACCTGGATGACTGAGAACCTCCATAGGCTAATTTTGAATGGTTGTAAAACAACCAATCATGAAGCAAGGACTCTGCCTATATGACTTTTGACAAAGATTTGCCAGGAAATGTTTGATGTTACTTCAGGTTTCTTGGCGTTAATATATTTCAACAAGCATGCTTGAGGAAAAACATGCAGAACTAAAACCAATGATTTACCAGTTCATTAAGACCCTGACTCCCACAGCCTCAAATGAGTTTACAAGGGCAGCAAAGAACTTTAAATCTGATTGTGGAAAACTGAAAGCAGCTACTGTTTAAAGAATCAGAGGAAGCAGGTTCCTGAGAGATGCTAAGACAAAGAGTGGCTAGAGGTCAAGAGAAGCAATAAAAGACCAACGAAGTCTGTTTTGAAAAGAGCTCAGAGAAGCAAAGGGGGGGGGGGTTGGCTGGTTAGCAGGAACTGGAACAAATCATTCTGCCTCATTGAACCCCAAGGAGCAAGGCTATTATTACAAATGAATCTGCTTTAAATGAAGCTTAAGTAAGTCTAATCAGACAATCTCCGATCTTTCCCCCCTTCCTTAACTGTCTTCCCATCAGAGCCTGGATTTCAATGGTGGCAAGAGAACGGTTCTTTCAGATTTATTCAACCCTGCCAGGTCTCAGATTAATGACTGGGTTTGTTTGCAGCAAGTGGCACCTCACATCTTTTGTTGGAGCTGTGTTACATATTTGGAGAGAAGGCAGGCATCTGGATCAGTGATGGGATTCCAATATGTGAACAACCGGTTCTCTGTGTGGATGCCGCTTCCGGAATTCCATTCTGAACCTGGGCAACAAAAAAATTAGCTACCGGTTCTGCCGAACTGGTGCGAACTGGCTGAATCCCACCACTGATCTGGATATGATTTTTAAAGGGGAAAAATAATGCATAATTATGAGGTTCAAAAATACAAAGTAGCTGGGGTTCACAGACAGATCTAAGACAAAATATGGCTGGTCTGGTTTGTGAACCCAGATGCTGGACTTTGTTAATTGGGGTTTATGGCTAACTCTTCCAAATGAACCACAGCCATTGTGGTTTATTCAGAATGTGATCTAAATTAATGGATTGATAGATCTAATGTTCCTGAACATGATACCAGATGTAATTGTGACTATAAATACTGAAATTCTAAAGGTTCAGTAGAAATGCCCTGGTTGTTTGGATCCCAACATTCATGCTAATGCCTCTGAGGCTGTCCTTGTGTCATAAACCAGGGCCTCAGTCTCTTATTCCCCAAGCAATTGTAGAAACCTTTAAAATAAAATAAAAATAACCATGGATCATCAAGCTTTTGTCCATTCATTTACCTTACGAAGAAACTGATGTTAGTGCAAATGTGTAGATGTCATGATTCAAGTTACCTAGCCATAGTTTAATATTTCAGTACCACCCCATGAAGAAGTGTGACCTATGAATGGTCAATAGGCTGAAGGACACTCAGAGACATTTCTGGAAGAGAACAATTAAACTCAAGTTGCTGCAGACAACCAAGTTCTATTGCCAATGAGCAAAATGTGCTTCTTGCTCCCTTCACCCAATGCAGCAGCTAATAAAGCAAAATAAATAAAATGCACCGTCCTATATTTGTCATCTCCACAGGAATATCTGCTAAAACTTTCCTCATTTTTCAAAACAATATCTGCATGGTGCTAAAAACTCTTTAATTATGGAGTCCTTGGTGTTGTTTGCTGAAGAGGTTATCTAGTTGGGTAGCGAAATATCTGCAAGCAAACAACGAAGCTCAGAGAGCACCATGGACTCCACCAGCTCAACCTCCAGCTACAGATAGTCCCTTCTATTGGCACTCTTTAATTATTAACCCAGGGCATCCATAGTCTTTCTTCGATGCCCTGGGATCCACCCAGTAAAATTAGCTGACTCTTCATTCCAGAACACAATGATAATTAATTCCTGCCTTTGCAAGCAGAGACATATTGCACTGGTGGGTTTTAATGTGCAGCTTCTGGTGGGGTTTTGAAAATTATAGTTGCCATGGCAACTTCAGGTGTGCTGACTAGGCTGAACTGCTTCTTTCATCGGGTCTCTCTTCCCTTCTTAGTTCTGCTCTTTCAAGGAGAAAGGGGTATTATTAGTTAAGACTTGCATAGCTCAGCTCTGCTCAGATAAATGGGGCAAAGTTCACCAGAAAGACCTGGTGACAGCTAAAGACTAGCTTAAATCTGCTCCATTTTGGAAGACTCCAAGGAATTACGAAGAACTCTTTTAGGCTTTATCCAAAGCTTTCTGCTGGGGATGAAGCCACACTTAGTTTTAGGTTTCCATTTGATGGGTAGTTTTGGGGAAAGCTGGAAGATCCTGCAACAATTTTGAAAACGTAGCTGTTTGTGCCTTCCCCTCAGATTAGGAAACAAATGTTTCTGATGCCAAGTTTCATGGTGACAGAGACCATTGGAAACAAGACACAAAGTCCAATGGGTGGTCAAATTACCCACTCAACTAACATAATATGGAACCACTGAATATGTCAGAGCAGATGCAAAAACAACAGAAAAAGGAAAAATCAACTACTCCAATAGAGAGAAGGAGAAAAACAATCTTGCCTGAGTCAAACTCTAATATTGGGGACATATAACATTTGTGCAACATTTGGGGTATTAGGATAGCCAGCCCTTTTAGACCTTACATTGTTGTAACACCCAGCCTGTTGCAAGACAGGGTAGGATAAATGTTCAGATAAACAACAGGAAAGTATACAGTTGTCTCCTGCACACCTTGACACAGAGGAATGGCTTTGTTCCAGTGGTGGTAACCCTGGGGGTGTCTCGAACACGTGGAAAAGCTGTGGCCAACGAGGCGGTAGCCGGTGTCACAACCGAACCAAATGGTGCTTCCTGGCTGCAGGCCGGAGTGGCTGAGGATAGAGCCATGGAGAGGTGCTGGAGGGAGGCTGCAATAAGGGGCTAGACAAGTGGGAGGAAAACATACATATGCATATACTCAGAAGCATGGAACATCATGCAATTACAGTTGAAGAGAAATGGCTCTGTTCAAATCCACTCCTTTTTCTCTCTACCTTTCTCAATCCTCTGGCTTTCTAACCCTTCAGAGTGCAAATAATTTGGGACTCTAAAAAGCAAACTGGAATTATAAAGCAAGCCACAATAATCTCAGTGGAATAAAGTTCCTGTTTGCTCAGCAAAAAAAATAAATAAAACATAATTTCTTCCAATTAAACATTCATTCATTAATAGAATAACACCATTAATGTTTTAAGGACACATTTAGGCATGCCCCTGCCTCAGTTTAGATTGCTTTTCATTAAGTAATTAAAAAAATTATTTTTTGCTAAGAATGGCTTGTTTCATTTTGAGGGACTCTTTGCCAAACCTTTCATAATTACTTTTATAAAGATGGAATAATTAAAGTTCACGTGAAATCAGGACCAGGATAAAACATCCACCATGAAAATGTTAATGGTGAAATGATTGCTGTTTCTTTTCTGGGAAAGTTAGAAAAAACTATTACAGGTTCTTCTTTCACCATACAAAGGTAGTAAATGCAAAAGAAATGAAAAATAGATTCATATATTGTTCTATGCTTGTTTATGACATTTTCAGTAGCAGCTTCTCTTCATGTGTTCTGAAAATGATAAAAACAAGTCCTTTTTCTGAGAACAATGGGGCAGGAAGATCCTTTTATTAACAGTATTTAAGAGGTCTATTGATTATGATTGTTTTAATGTACTTTTAAAAAAAATCAATATAGTAAAATACATAAACAGAACGATAGAAAATAAGTAAAGAGAAAAGAAATAAATCATATATGTACGTCTTCCACAGTTTTCCTATTTTTTCATCTATTTTTTCCTCAACCTCTTTATTCCACTTAAACCCAATTTGATATTTCTTCTTTCAGCAAAATGTTTCCAGTCATTCCAAACAAAAAAAAAAAAAAAAGAAAAAACCCTTACGGTTCTTTTATTGCAATTTTATGGATTAAGTTTAGTTTAGTTATTGGAAGCCACCTCAAGTCACACAAATATGCAGGATCTAAAGGGGTGTAGACAAGAAAAAAATGTAGTTCCCATTCTTTAAAATGCATTCTTAGTGGGTTGTTTTGTGGCAATGGTTGGGAAACAAATAAGAGTAATAAGAAGCAAAGGTCAACTTTTCTCATTTCCTTCAATCCATGCTTCCACTTCAGTTTTTTATAGATGTAGAGCAGCGTTCCTCAACCTTAGCAACTCTAAGATATGTTAGCTTGAACCTCCAGAATTCAAACGATAACAGGGAACTTACAGTATTTGTTACAACTGATGTGTTGTGAACAGTTGTATATTTTAAATCTACAACTTGAATTCATATGTCAGATTTAGGAAAAAAATGCACTTAATGGCATGAATTGCCATTAATCTATATATCAGCCTTCCCCAACTGCCATCTGTTATTATTATTATTGATCATTGCACAGTCAGCCAGATGTTCAGACCAGGTTTGGCATTTTTGTCTACCTATCGAGTCCTTACCAAGGACCTGGGATAGGCAGATGTGGATGTTTGATGGTGTTGCAGATATCATGACAGGATGGAATCTGTTCCGAGTAAGGAACAAGATGGAGGCTGTCCCCGCCTTTTGCAATTGACTGATGGCGAATTTGTCAATGCCAATGGTGCTCCAGTTGTTTTGGGATTGCACCCAAGGCACCTATTAGTATTGGTGCTATCCTTGCTTGCCTTTGCCACAGTCGTTCTATTTCTATTTGCAGGTCTTTGTATTTTGTTATCTTATCCAGTTCTTTCTCTTCTATTCTGCGGTCTCCAGGCAGAATATCCACGTCCACTATCCAGACTTTTTTGTCTTTCTTATCAACAATTGTTCAGTCTGGGGTCTTATGTGGCAGGTCCCTGTTTGAATTCTAAAGTCGCAGAGCAATTTAACTTTTTCATTTTCTATCAAATTATTATCAATTATTGATGATCGATGATCGATGATCAATTATTATCAACGCAACGTGAAGTCACAGATGCCAGTTTTTAGCTGGTGTTAGACTTCATAGCATTGAGCGTTGAGTTTTTCTCAGGAACCTATGATGTCAAAATAATATCAGTGTACTATATGTGAGAATTTAAGCAGTGTGGCTTTTTGCAACTGACAGATGGAAATTTTGTCAATTTGCAGATTTTCTAAGTGCCATCCAAGAATTATTTGGTATGGTACCTATAATTATTTCACAGTTATGTCATCTCCGTATGACCATGAAACAATGGTTCCCAATTATAAACCAACACTGTATTTTAAATGGATCAAAATAATTTCCTAGGAGAATGGCAATGTCTCCCAGCAGAGTACTTCTCTAGAATTTAGCTATGTAACCAATGATTATTCCCCGAACAACAATAACCTCAATTTAGTCATATTGAAATAAACCACATTATTTCTTTTTCTGCAATTCTCACTTTAAGAAAGTATGATCCACGGTGCGGAAAGTTTTATGGTGAACTGAAAAGCTGGATTGTAGTGTTTATAAAATTAAAAAGTTGCACACAAAATTAGCTGACCTGCAATAAATAACGGCTTTGGGGTTTACGCACCACAGTATTACTTCCGAGATGAGCATGGTGCATTCTTTCTCAATGAGCCTGTAATTAATAATAAATACCCTTCGCTAAATTAATTACAGCAAAAAGTGCAAGCCGTAACCCTGAATGTGATTCCATTTACAGCACAATTTGGTTCATGCTTATTCAGAAGCAAACTGCATTAATCCAAGACTTCAGGCTCAGTGACCGAAAAGATGCGTGAAAGGAAGGAATTAATTAAACAACAAAAGCAAAGCAAACAAATTAAAAAAAAAGAATCCCAAATAGATTGGGTGATTTTTCTATGGGAAAACGAATGAGATTCATTTCTAGTTTTAGAATTCCAAAAAAAGTAAGTCAAGAAGAAGCATTTTCTCATCAGCTTACTCCTGCTTTATGCAAAGGTGATCAGACTTCTTTCGTATTCCCTACTCACCCGAATATCGGATCCGGAAACCCTTCCTGCTGTAGGCATGATCAGAGGACCAGTGGAGATAGGCTCTGTTTCCTGAGCTGGTCACCACCAGTGGTGCAGAGTAATTTCCACTTAGAGACAGTAACAGTGGACTTTGACCTGAAGTCCCTTTAGAAACATCAGAAAAATAGAGTATGAGCCAACGAAAAGCCATAACTGGATTGAACCAAACCTTTTAAGCGGTCAGCATCCTGTCCAGTTCCTTCAGAATATACAGAACCAAGCCCAGGGTACTCTATAGCCTCCCACATTTTGGTGTGTTTGTGTGTGTGTGTGTGTGTGTGTGTGTCACAAACGTCCAAGTGAGATCTGTCTCAACTCTGTTCCAACCTGCTTGGTTAATGAAATTCCTACATCATTGTGCATGATTTGATATTTATTCCCAGATTTCTTAATTTATTCAGTCTCTGGTACAGTATTTCTCAACACCACCAACTTTAAGATGTGTGGATTTCAAGTTGAATGTTCCTCCAGAATATTGACCAAGTGAATTCTTAAAACTGTAGAGGTTAAGAAAAACTGCTCAAAGAAACATGGGAATCTATTTATTTTGTCTCAGTTGTTTATTTCCTGTCTTTATCTCTCATATTTTTTTTTGGGGGGGGGACTCAGAAGCATCGACAGAATCTCCTCTTATTTTACCTCTGCAACAACAAGAAACGCTGCAATAGGGAAGACTAACTTCAGATAATTAAATTAATTGTATGTACTATTTAGTTTTATTTACATGTACACACCCATTCATTTGTAAAGTGCTTTTTACATGGCTTTGGGCCATGTTGAAGAAAGGCTCCTGACATGACATTCAAAGCATCATTTTGCACTTAGCTCAATGAAAGTTGTAGAAACCTACCTGGTGTGGATTTTTTACAGTTCACTACCAATTTTGCTAGTTGATAATCCCCATCAACCCCAGAGACCACTCTGGATGGGGTAAAGCTGGTTCTAGTTAAATATATCTGGGGGGTATGGCGTCGGGAAGGTTATATAGAAGAACAGAGAGCATAGATGATTGCAATAGCCTTCTTTTCTTATAAGTTTCCAAACCCTAGGATTCAGAAATACTGAATACAGATGTTTCTTTCAGCTGTCATAGTTGCAACAATAGCCGACAGAGTAATCCTTCCTAATCAATCTTCATAATTATGAATAAATTCATCTAGTGAAGCTAACAAAGGGCTCAGCAAGAGACCATGATTTGGCAGATAATCATTTGTGGGGGAGAATCTGGAAAGAAGGGCCCTGAAGACTAAATGCAGTTATCTCCAGCATGAAAGGGAAAAAGCACAGAGAGCAAAAGGATGAAGGAAGAGGGCACAATGGCTTGTAAGGCTGAGGAAGGGGACTTAACATTTCAGCTTGCAGCCTACTAAACTATATGCCCTGGCAGGGAATCTCCAAAGTTAAATATGCAGAAAGTGAAATGTTCTTCTCTCCTGTCAATCACTTTAGTTGGGTAATCATGTCTTTTAGCCGCATGGAATCAGAAAAAAAATAGTTTTATTTACTCTCTGCAAGTTATTTTATAATTCTATGAGCTTAGAATGCATTTTCCTCTCCCCATCTTTGGCAATTGATGTCTTATCCATGGAGGAACAGTGCATGATGCTACCAATCATATAATTCATGATTAATAATCCTGGTGGTGGCCACCTGATATTGTTTTCTCTAGCACTGATGAGGTCACCTAGTCAGGTAATCAAATGTCTGCAAGAAAACAACCAAGCTCAGAGAGCACCAAGGACCCCACATTTCAATCCTGAGCTATAAGTATTCTCCTCTATCAATTGCTTTCTCTGTCTCACTGGGCCAAATTCTGGTAGCTACTGCAATGTGTAGTCCCACCCTGATCCCTCTTCACCACCTTCCACCCCTAAAGGAACGTGTGTAGTTTAGGTAATCTGGTAATCTAGTCCCCCACCACCTCATCTCCAAAACCATCCAATCTTTATGACTCACCGTCAAATATCCCAAACTCATCGTACTTCTTCTCACTCAAGAAATATTCAACGGTGAAGGTGATATTGTACTCTGGTTCCACTGCTATCATCCAAGAGCAAGTCTGGAAGTGAGGGTAGCTGCCTGTGAAGGATGGGCTTAGGATCACTCCTGTGGAGTCACGGAGGACCTCATTCATTGGACAGTGAACTGATCGACACCAACGAAAAAAGCAAGGCACAGAGAGTTACTCTATGTCACTGTGAAGGAAAACTGCTCTTGGGGCTGTTAACTGGGCTCAGAAGATATGAGGAATCTGGATAACTCATCTAGCAGGTCTCCAACGAGATCGAGTGAAGATGCAGGCTAGTAAATTCTGGAAGTTAGTCCACAGTTTGGTGAAGATTGCCTGTTTTGGCTTACACTAGTTCACTTGGGCTCTGTGAGAAGTCTTTCCCATCACCTACTTGACTATTTAACTGGGGGAAACAGTTCTGTTGCATCTTCCCCTAGTTAGCAATAGACCTTGCTTTCATGACTATCTCAGGATCTTTTAAAACTTGGTATACATGGGCCTCACAAACCCTCCTTGTCTATACTGGGTTTGTGAGTATGAGATGGATTGCCACATTGCTTTTGCAAAGAAAATATCATTTGCACAAATATAAACTATGTGTTGCAATCAGGAAAATGATCTGTCGTGGCACCTATGCCATGTTTACCTTAGGTTCCCTTTCTAGATAAAGCATGGGTCCTCTTTAGAAGCGGGTGATGCAGACTGATTTATTTTTAGTCAATCATCATCATCATCATCATCATCATCATCATCACCACCATCATCACCATCATCATCATCTATATTATTTTTAAAGGAACAGTCTTTTTGACACTTTTTTCTGGGTGTCCACAGCATAGGTCTTAATATATCTCTTTGACTTCTTGTATATCCAATATTAAAAAGCAAGAGATCCATATATTATTTATTCTCTGCTATGAGTTCTGGGATTTTTTGCACTTCCATCAAAGTGAGACTGACCTTCACATGTTGGGGGAGGGCCTTCGAACTGGAGGTGGGTACCAAGCCTGCATGTCAGGATCTCATTTCCAACCAAGGTGAAGCCAGGAAGGCATTGATACCTAATAATATCACCTGCGGAAAGGAACGAAGAAGATGCAGGTGTGTTCCAAGAATACAAAAGAACGTATTTTGAACAAGGTCATCAGATGGATCGTGATTACAACTGAACTAGATGTGAGGAAGGAGATCGGGGTCCCATAAAGTTAATTGAAGTAAGGGGAGTGGAAAAAGCACGTGAACTAAAACTGCCACTCTCAAATTGTTCCCTTGCCAAATGGGGGAAGACCATCTGCTATTAAATTAAATCACGTGTGTTTTTTCTCATGGTCCAGAAAGTCACCTTAGGGTAATGTTTCTTAACCTTGAAGATGCATGGACTTCAACTTCCAGAATTCCCCAGCTAGCAAGTTGATGGCCGCACAGCTTAAAGTTGCCAAAGTTAAAGTTAAAAGTTGGAAACACTACTTTAAAGTGTTAGTGATTTGAATTAGCCAAAAGACATGTCAAAGGAAGTAAGGGGTGGGGGGATATCGCATAAGTCCTATCACTGCTTCATGGTCTGTTACATCTTTATCTGATATCTTTGAAGCACACTTGATGGTGTCATTAGGGAGAAATCTTTAGCTGAGTTACTTTGCGATATTTCTCCCAGGTGTGTAGCGCTTCACATCATCAGCCAAGCCTTGTCATCTGCTACCTCTATTCTCTTGTGAATCACTTCCAGTTATCCCATTGTCCTCATTAATCTTTCAAACTCTGTACGCATCTGGTGTACAGGTAAAAGACCTACCCTTTAAGTCTGGATAAGCATACCACTCAATGCAGTGGAAGAATTCTGACTGGTAGGTAACATCTATTTTTTAAGTTTTTAAGAAGAGACTGGACAGCCATTTGTCCGAAATGGTGTAGGGTTCCTGCCTGAGCAGGGGATTGGACTAGATGACCTCCAAGGTCCCTTCCAACTTTATTATTATTATTATTATTATTATTATTATTATTATTATTATTATTATTATTATTATTATTATTATTATTATTATTATTNTCTGTAATCCTCATTCTCGGTGATGATTTCAGCATTAGGGACCATAGTTGGCGGTTGGCACTTAGAAAGTTGATAGGCTGGGAAGAGAAAGAAATAAATCAAATGCATGAGAGTACCAAATCTCTAGCTATGGGACTTGAATATGTAACTTTGTGTTATAGTTCCTCAGCAAAAATTGGAATCACTTGTTGAGATGGGCAGCCACATGAATTGAATGGATGAGTAAATAAATAATGAACAAAGAGAGAAGCCAGAAGCTGAATCTCTGGAAAATCAATTCCACAACAAACAAAAGCTGCTCCCTGGGTGGTGGTGGTGGGGTTGTGGTGGAAACCAATTTTCTCCCTTTTGTAGCCTTCTGTGGTTCAACATTTTGAAGATTCGTTGGCCCTCAAGGGTATTTTTTTTTCCAGAAGAAATACATTCTTTTTTTTTATTCTGTAAGCCAAACGTATCTCTTACTTCTTGGTTTACACCAACTACACCGTTCTTCACTCAGCATTTGAATTTCTTCATGGGACGGTTCACACAACTTGATTATTGAATTCACCCATTTGCTTGATTTGCACAACACCTGGGATCTCAAGCTAACTCAATGGGCAGAGTTAAGCTACAAAAAAACATCTCTAATCTTAACAATAATCAATGCATGCAGCCCTTGGCTTCTAATCAATTTGATTAAGCTTTCTGTGCGAACCCAACCATAAGGATAAGTTCTACTTATTGGTCCAAATTAGTGGGGTTTTTTTTTTTATGCTGCAGAGTGTGGTATGGCAGAGAAGGCAGCTGATAAGCCCTAGCTGAATACATAAGCAATGTCCAATTGAACCCTCATTGCTGCATGCAACACGTGAGCTGTACCTACCATAGAAGTGGATGACAAAAAGGCCTCCATTGGCTGCATCACTGTGAAACTTCATTAGCGCATGGTTGGAAGAGCTTTGGATGACTTTCTTCACTGAGTGTCCTGTGAAAACCCCCAGCTGGGGAGCTGTCTCTTGAGAACCATCCCTGAAGAGAAAGGGAAAGAAATACAAAAGAGTAACAGAAAAGACACGGTTAAAGAGTGGGAACATTATGGATCAGAGTTTGCACACCACCCAGGTTGTTGGCTGAAGACAATTCCAGCTTTTGAAAGGGCTGACCATCCTCTTGATGTAAGAGCCAGATGATGCTTGGAAGGCCAACCAGACACTCCCAGTGGGTCGATCTGGCTGAAGGGATCCACAAAGTTCTCCTGATCTGCTCACAGGCTCCAAGACCGATCAAAGGCTCTTTTCCTATTTTCTTTCTTATTTTATTTGGAATATCTGCCTAGCTATGCACTTGAAGATGTCCCAATTCCCAGCCTAGAAATACAGTAGGTGAAAACAAGAATTTGCACATAGTGTACTTTACATATACTGTACTTAAGCTTTTAGTTTGCAACAAATTGTAACTAATGAAAAAAAAATACAAAATACCTATTATTTTAAATTTGACTATAAAAGGCATTCCAGCATTGCCACCCAGCTTTTGCTGTGCACAATAGTTTCTAAACATTAAATAATGCAAAGACTTTATAACTGAAAGGTCTATTTGCATAATCCAACACAGAGGATAAGTAACACAATACAACTCTTCAATGCAAAGGCAACAGTGTAGCTCTTCCTATTCATAGCTCAGTCCTTCTCTGGTCACCAGCTTGCTTCCTCTTGTGGACTTCTGATCTAGAGGTTGGTGGATCTCCACTGGACCTCAGAGCCATGGAAATGAGAGTAGACAACAGCTGTTGTATATTGACAACAGGACATCTTTCCAAGTTTCTCTATGGTATCCATTTTCCAAATCAAGCAATTTTCATTACTGCCATTTCCATTATCACAATCTCCGTTCAGGATGCTCATTGCTACTTTAAAGTTCTTTAGGAAGCATACTGAAATTTTCCCTTTCCTCCAGGGGGTTAGAGGAAATTTTTTTCCAATTTGATGATGTTTTTTTGTAATATATATCTTATTATCCTAGGTCTTCTGCCACCAAACTTCCTAATCCCAGCTTGGGCAGTTTCCCTTGAGGTAAGTGAAAAACTGATATCTCCAGACTTCTCATGATGTGAGGTTCTCTCATTGTCTCATAAGGATAAGAGAACATAGCTACGACAAGGTTCTAGCAACACTGCTGAAAAAGAGAGAGAGCCTCCAGGTCAAAATCACACTCACCAGACAGTGATGAAGTCATTGTATGGCTCTGTTTGTAGCAAGGTAAAGTTGAGGTAGATGCCATATCCAGGTGACACCACAAATACCCACGTGCAGTCCTGGGAATTGGGATACTGATTGGGAAAGCCGGAGGAGTAGATCGTTCCATTTTGGGCAGTGATGTTTCCTCCACAGGGGACTGTATGCAATTGACCACAAAAGACATTAAGAGCTACTAAATCTCAGAATTTGCACAATAGTGGTGGTATGATTTTAGTATCATTTAATCTATTTTCAAGTCCTCCAAACGGCTATTCTCACGAGCTGTACAGTGTTTCTTAATCTTGGCCACTTGAAGAGGTGTGGACCTCAACTTCCAGAATTCCCTAACCAACACTCTTCTCTGTACAGGCAACAGGGGGAGAGCATACCCAACTCAGCTGAGCAGGGAAGGTTATTTAAACCTAAAACAAACCCATAACCCCTTTTCAGTTTAAAGGAATCTTTTCAAAACCTGGTGATAACTGGTGCTGGCCTAAGTCTCCTTTAACCACTTAACTGTGTGTTGTGAACTTTGTCAATTTGTCTTGACAACTGTGGTTGTTAAAAAGGACTACTAGTAGAGCTCAGCATATGCAGAAAGTTACAAGTCACGGGAAGCCTTCTTTTAACAAGCCAAAGCATCCTCAATTGAGGATGTGATGAGAAAGGAATATATGAATGTTATGGGAGAGAAACTACAAATTAACAATGTCAACCTCATACAAAGAAAATCTGTATAAAATGTTTTATAGATGGCACCTGCCACCAGCAAGATTAGCAAAAATGTTTAAAAATATGTTAGATAGATGTTGGAAATGTAAACATAACATAGGCACGTATTATCACATTTGGTGGACATGTGGTAAGGCAAAGACCTATTGGAGAAAGATACATACAGTATGTGGTTAGAAAAAATATTGGGTGAACAAGTGGATTTTAAACCTGAACTTTTTTTGCTAGGTATTATACCTGAAAAGACTAATAAGCAGAAAATTATATTTAATCTTACACATCACTACAGCAGCGAGAATAATTTTTGCACAATACTGGAAGAATGAAGGACTGCCATCAGAAGAAGAAATAATCAGGAAAATATCTGAATGTGCAAAGATGGACAGATTAACTATGAGGTTGGATGATAAAGAAGATACAGACTACTCTCAAATTTGGAACCTATTTTATTCTTGGCTAGAGGAAAGAATGAAGGATTAGGAACTGAACATGTATTAGCATAGCAAACTCCGGACAACTTGTTGATTGGAAAAATTAACATATGTTGATGAAAAAAAAAATCAATAAAATCTTTATTAAAAAAAAGAGAAAGGAATATATGAACCTGTGGCTCAAGCAAATTTAGCAAAGTTCAGCACTACTACATTTCTATTCATACCGTTTTCTGAGGGAGCCACCAAGAACAAATATCTATGTGAAAGGAATACTGAGAGAGGCATGCAGAAGATGGAGGTGAACAGATACAACAGTCATACTCAAATTAAATCAAAGCTATGGGAAAAAAATAGATTTGTCACTTCCTAAAGGAGCAGAAATTAAGGCCCATTGACAATATAATTAATGAATATCTTGGTACTGTGGAAGCAATAAAGCTGAATTAGCAGTGGTCTACGTCTAAGTGAAACAGAAACCGATAAAAGTCAAAGACCAGCCAGTTCAGGTTTGTAGCCAGAAATGTGTAGTGGTGCTCGTGCTGAAGAATAGGGAAACTATATGTATGGATACAAATGAATATGATGCCTCTTGACAAATACCAACAAGTCAAGTGCACGTTTAATTTGTAAGTTAGGTATACTAACTTAGTGTGTTACTTTTCTCTTTTTTCCTTAATAATCCCCTACCAAGAAAAGTCTCAATAAAGTCATACCTTCACACCTGGGCAATGGGTGGTCCCAGTTCCTATTGGTTCCATGTTGACAGGTTAAGACTGGTTGTCCAATCAACTGGTAGCCAGGGAGGCACTCAAAAGAGATGGACTGCCCCACACTATAACCTGCTCCTCTTACAATGCCATTGGCGAAGGGTTCAGGATCTGGGCACTCCTGGAGTTCATAAGCTGGATATCATAGAGTACAAACATAGCAATGGATTTAAAATCAGTTATTCCTTCAGAAATTCTTTACCTACAGATGTTGTCTTATAGCAGGGGTAGTCAACCTTGGCTCTTTTATGACTCGTGGACTTCAACTCCCAGAATTCCTGAGCCAGCTATGCTGGCTCAGGAATTCTGGGAGTTGAAGTCCACGAGCCATAAAAGAGCCAAAGTTGACTACCCCTGTCTTATAGAGAAAGACCATTAGTCAGTGTTGGAGCACATGCTCATAGTGAAGGCAGAAGAATAACAGGGATGGGAAGCACTTTGACTTGAAACCTTGGAGGAAGTTAACAATCAGCACAATCAATAGTCAGCAAGTTGTGATTTTAAATACTAGTGGCAACAGTTAGAATTAGTTGATATTTTATCAATTAAGGTTATCTACTTAGAGGAATTGTATTTACTTATTAATTTCTAGTTATATGATTATAACCAACTCTACTCATTATAATTGTTTAGTATTATATAAACTATGTTTACTCAATATGTATATCCAGATGGTAGTTTGCTTGTTAAAACATGAGATTATTGTTGGGGGTAACCCCATTATTGTACCTTCCCCGTACCCTATCCTCAATTCCTTATTCCTACCCCTTCCCATACCTGTATTTACCCTATCCTTTCCTTACCCGTACAAAATCTAATAAAATATTTATAAAAAAAAATAGTTGGCAAGTTGTATAGACCCGCCCATATGCCTAATTTTGTTTACAACTCTTCTCTAGTCAATCTCCAGGGCTTCCGATAGACTACTCTTCTCCAGATCCCTTGAGAACTACCTTCAGTGGTCAAATATGGCTAGAGAGGTCTTTCTTCCCTCCCTAAATGATCAAAGGTCTAACCTGGTATAAGGCAACTGACTTGTTTCCAATGTTCTCCCAGCTGAACCACATCTGAGATAATTGATCTCCAATCTTTAAGCACAAACTATTTAGCAACCAAAGCTATGAAACCAAGCAGCATATGATTGAATCAGATTCTAGGTTTCTGGAATCCATCCAAATATTATATAAATATGAGGACCAATAAATTGATAGACATTGTTCCAAAGTTCATCCTATCAGAGCAGTGATACATTAATAGCTATGGGAAGAGCTCCGCTGCCCCAAAGGATCAATTTCCCATGATCTATTCCTGCCAGTAGACTCATCCCGTCATATGGGCTGACTTACAAGATGATGATGATGATGATGATTATTAATAATAATAATAATAATAATAATAATAATAATAATAATCTTAGTCAGGTGAAAACACCATAGTTTTATGGTATCCTTCTACTTAGATTACTGTGCATTCTTAGTTGTGATAATCTTGTAGTGATAGTCCTTGACTAATGATTGGACCTATCTGGAGAGTACTTACAACCCAGATTTGAAGTTTCAATAGTCACCTTTCCTGCAATCACCTGACCATACTTCAGATGTTCAGCAACTGGATCTCATTGATGGACATTTACCGTGCCCTGTGGTCACATGACTACATTTTACAATGGTCTCGCTGAAAACCAGCATTTACTTCTGGTTTTCTGCAAAATAGGGCCAATAGGAAAATATTGATCTGCTTAATGACCACAGAATTCACTTAACAACCACAGAGTCTCTTAACAACCATGGTGAGTCACTCAATGAATGATTGCTGCAAAAATGGTCACAAAATCAGATCAGTCATATGCTCGACCCATTTTACGACTGTCAAGGGTTACGACTGTGATGGACAGGCTCCATTACAGTGGTAATTCAAGAACTACTTGTAGTCAGTCCAGAAGAGACTTGTAGCTTGCCCCAAAGAGAACAGACAGATTAATAATTGCACAGTAATACAATCATATGATGCCAATATAGTAGCAACTTCACTGGGTCTCCATTTCCAAGTCCAATTTAAATTTCTGGTACTAATTGCCAGGGCTTTTTTTCAGCCGGAACGCGGCGGAACCGCGTTCCGGCACCTTTTTCCGGGCCGGCCGCACCGGAAATAGCCCCTCCCACACCGGAAATAGCCCCTCCCAAATTTTACTTGCATTCCTGTTCTCTAAAGGGGCGGTCCTAGGGTTTGATGAGGGCGTGGCCAGGTTTGAGTTCCGCCACCTTTTCTCCNCCCTGCTAATTGCTAAACGCGTTCACCTAAATTAAATCATATGGGTTCCATTGCGTTATCATGCTGTCCATAAATATTGTGCAGAACATTTTGATTATAAACCTGCATATAGCTGAAATAATTAAAAATGATGCCGGTTTGATATGTGTATATGCCTGCATGGAATAAATTTGGAAAGTGGGCATGGGGAGGGATATTAAAACTGCTAGAAGACTGAGAGCAAGGGGGGAAAAAAATCTTGACTGGCATATGGCAGCACATTACAAAACAACAGACACTGGATGTTTTGAATTTTGTTAAATCAGGAGTATTCCTTCTGTCGAGAATCACAATGAAATTCTGATTTTTTTTTCTTTTGGAGCTCTTTTCTCAAAACTAGCACCAGACAGAGGGATTCTCTTGCATTCTTTATTTTTTAAATAGCAGTACTCCTTCAGAAGAATTTGCTTTTGAAATTTATTTAAAAGGAGAAAATAACTTTTGTGGGTATTTCATGTACTTCATGTGGCTGGGTTTTGCACATGTATGAATATAATTTGCTTTGTTCTCCCTAACAGTCTGAATTTTCCTGAGCTTCCATCTAATCATTACTGCCAATGAAAATCCTTTCCTGTGAGGAACCACTGAAGAATTTCTGATTCCTCTAGAGAAATTCAGAGAAGCCTTCTCTGGTTCTTTACCTACAGATTTGGTGATAATTTTACAAAGCCACTCGTGCCCAACTGTACTTAAAATGTGCTTTCTTGGCTTCTCCTGACCTGGGGGGCCTCCATGGTATGTGTCAAAACCTGCGAAATAGTACCACAAAGTTGCAAAGCCTCATCACTACCTACAAATGTTGATTTGGTTGCTTGCAGTGCCCTACCCACCATCTTGCAGATTTTGACACCCCCTCTACACCTGTTCTTGAGCAAGATGGACATATGAAAGGGGATCTGTCAAAAGTTCTGCAAAATTGACCGGCATAAAGGCACCTTGAAGAAGTCATTCCACACCTGCTTATCTCTGGAAGGGAAGAGGGAATGAAAAAAAAACCCCTCAACATTGTCCTGCCTTTATTCTCATTGGTATAAGAAGAGATAGCTCTTTATCTTTTTTTTTCAGCTTTGGATAACCTTCAATTTGAATGGGGCAATTGGGAAACGGATGACCATCTGGCAGGTATAGCAGTAATGAGAGAGCCTTAATTTTTTCTTTACCTGATAAAGTCTGGCACACACCACTGCATATACTGTACAACTAAGAAATAATGATCTCTGTAAACAGAAGATGAAGACTTTTGTTGCACTGAAGTAGAAATACAGAGGCAAAGCTAAAGAATAGATTTGTGCAAGGAAGAATTTGCCTGATGTAGTAATTAAGAGGCCTCTGAGCACCAAGCAAATTAACATCAGGTTGAACTCTTAGTTATAGCACTAATACCTTCTGGAAAACACATTGTGGATTAACTTGTCTATATTGGCAGGCTACTAGGATTTAGCAAGGCTGCTCGGCAAAACAAGAGTTTCCATCACATCTTAAAAGTATTGCTTTCTAAAAATGCAGTAGTTATAGCATTCTTGCTAAGTGGCCGGAAGTCAACTGGGTAGCTCCATTCTTAGCCTTATTGTCTGCCTGCTCCTTACTGTCAGCGCTGCAAATACTGTATATTCTTGCTTTGACAATATGCAGAACTGTCTGGTATTTTTATAGTTAAATCAGGGAACAGTGAAAGGGGAGGAGAATAAGGAAAGCCCGGAAAAAGAAACCGGAAGTGAATCACATCTTCCAAGTTAATTGGAAGATGTGAACCATGACCCCAAAATAGAGGAGGGAAAAATGCCTGGAATGTAGGTGCAACGGAAAAGAATCTCAGATCTAAGCATTCCACCCTGCCGTACTGACATTTCTGTAACCTTAATAAATGCTTTTAGGTTAAAAAAATGCCTGAAAGTTCTTTTAAGTGTTTCGTTAATCAGACACATGACACTTACCTTGATATTCTACTTTAAAACCAGGCTTGTTCTGTGAGTGGTCACTGTGGAAATATATGGTGGTTTCGTGCGATGTGGAAAGAAGGGAGCCTGGGAGTTCGGTCCCACTAAACCGGCTGATGATGTTACTGGTGTCGTAGGGCCCATTGCGAATTTCAACGAAGTCGTGGTTAGGTTCAGTGGAGAAGTTTAAGAACTGGAGATGAGCACCTGCAGATGACAGAGAAAGTGGGAGAAAGGAGATTTCGTTAGCTGAACTGTTGGCCAAATATTCTGTGTTTGGTTAACTTTCCATCATTCTTCTTCAACATACATCTGGCAGAATTCTCAAGGCTTCAGAGTAGGACCTTTCACAGACAATATTGTACAGTGGGGTGGGTGTCAGTATTAGTCCTAGTGATTACTTGAACAAGTCCCTGAAATTTTTGTTGCCAACATTTTCAGAAGTGGTTTTAGCTTGCCTTCCTCTTCCTAGGACTGAGAGAGACATAGTGGACAAAAGTCATCAGGTGGCTTCATATCTAAGCTAGGATTAGAAGTGACAGTCTTCCAGTTTCTAGGCCAGTATCTTTAACCGCCGTATCAACCTGCTTCTCATGTATGTATTGCTTCATAAATGCCATTTAGGAACATTTTGTGCCCCTTAGAAACCCAGGAGCACTATACCGCCAGCCTTGGTTTAGAAAAAAAAAGAAAAAGATGAAACATCACCAGAAAGCACAGCCAGAGGGACTAGACAACTACTTTGGTATTTTACTTTCTAAAACAATGCCTTTATCTCTGGCTTCTTTGTAGCTGAATAAAGTTTATTCCAATATATCTCTTGAGTATTCCATTGCTATAATTCTGGGCCCCCCTCTGTTTCCGGATAATAGGATTTTTTTCTCCCAGTTGGTAGTGGATCTAAAGTGGACAATCCCACTTCATACTTACTTTGCTTTGCTTTCTATACTTCACTTTCAGGCCACCTATGACCAAAGTACATGGTGAAGCATACACATCAACTGGATTGCTAATTTGATGCCATCACCAAATATACAGTATTCTGGTCTGCTTTGGAAGAATGGGGGATACAGAAGGATGTATAGTTAGTTTGAAGGACAGTGAATTGACTTGTAGAAAGATGTCCCTTGTCTGGATGTTGGATCATGGAGTACCAGCCACTCATGGCTTACCTACATCGTTCCTCCAGTACCATCAGTGGTCATTTGGATTTTGCATGTTGGATTTAACTGTGACAATTAGATAGGACAATCTCCCCACTACCAAGAAGAAGAAGAAGAAAGGAGGAGAAGGAG